ACCGCACCATTTAGGTACCACCCAGAAAAAGGATACCAAATAGGACTATCTAAAAGAATTAATCCAAAGAAAGTATTTTGGAATCATTACCAAGGATATGGAGGAAAAGGAGAATTAGATGAAAATGGAAAACTATGCGAAAACGATGAATACACGGCAATAAGAGAAGGCTTAGAAGAAGCCAACATTCTGATGGAAAAAGAACTACTCATTAAAGTATGGACTGAATTCAAACCAAGTTCACAAGAATGGGTAGCAGAAAAATATTGTTCACCGACAGAAGCAAAATATAAAATACGAAGAACTGTGTTCATTTATCCATGTAATTTATTCCAAAAGTTAAAACAATGCGAACCGGAGGAAGCGACACCATGGGAATGGTATACTTACGATGAAGTAAAAGAATTAACCCTCATACCCATGATTAAACAACCACTAGAATTAATATTCAACGAAATACATCAATATTTTATCAGAATGCAAGAAGTACAATATGAAGAACAACTTGCTGATGAGTACTTAAATTATGAAGCTAAGTATCCTTATGAAGAAATAGAGAGCTTAGCAGATGAAGATGAAATTCAAGAAAGATTACCAATAATGACAGATCATGAATTTACTATCCATCACAAACAAGTGAAACCCACACCACGAATTGAGATTCTACAAATAGAAAAATATAAGAAACAACTTGAATATGAAAAAGGCCAGATACAAAATAAGATCAATAGAGTCAACAGACTCTTAAATGGCCACTACAATTACAAATATTTAGCAGCATTCCGACCTCAAGATAGAATGCATGCATCTAAAATATTAAAGGAAAATCCAACACTCAAGAAAATATCGGATTCTGGACTAATGAAATTATTAAAAAACCAAGACTTTGTTTATTCACTTTTAAAACCCAAAGCAAAGAAAGAACAATACCAATTAAAGATTCGGCAAATTAAAAATAATGTACAATATGATGAAGAAACCGAATTGTTTGGAACAATCGACCAAATATTTACTGAACACCCAAACATACCATTGGTATGACCAACACTACGGATTTATAGCAAAATTGCCATATAAGGAAATTACCGGCAATGATTAATCCGGACATGTGTAAGCCGAAAAAATGTTTTATGTTCATCTTTTCCTATTTCAAATGCGGAGCTATCCATTCCACTAGTATTGTACGTATCATAGGCATTCGATAATTTAGTTCATGATTCATTTCTCTCATATTTTTTTTGAAAATAGAATTTAATCCTTAATATGGCGTTTCTATATATTTTTGGTTGATACTTTTATGACTGTCTATGATATTATTCACACGTATTCTTCAACTATAGAACACTTAAAGTATGAACAAATCGATTAATATTATTTTATTTATAGGTGACAGGCCTAAAGTCGGGCGAGTCTTTCGCTTGAACGATAGGAGATTCGTGTACCAATGAACGGGTGTAGTTTAAACAATAGGTGACTTGAGTATATTATTATTATGGGTAAAGCGGGAATCTCTAAGTTAGTAGCAACTTAATGAAAGTATAAGTTCATTATGTACGTAGTTTTAGGGAAAGAACTATATGTTTTATTTGGTGTACTTGTACTATTATATGAAAGTTTAATAAAGCAAAGGCGAGAGTTGTTATTCCCGAAGGGCCCAAAAGGCCTTTATTTATAATTATTCCTTTATCTATTTTTACATCCCTTATTGCTGTAATTATTAGTATTCACCACATTCCGATTTTTCTGAATCCCGGAATTCCCGGAATTCCCCCGGTAAATCCAAATTTGGAATTCCCGGGTCACGCCTGCGACAGGTCACGTTTCCGGTACAGTAATTCAGTAGAAGATTATTTCCTATATAAAAAGATTTTAGACGAATACAAAGTTGTAAAAATTGACTACTATGTTATACCAGTACAGAAGAAAGTCTAGGTTCTTTTTATAATTTTAGAGTAAGATAGGATAGAGCTTCGTTAAATTTATTTCGTAATCTAAAAAGGAATTTTTTCTTCTATAATTTTATTCGAATTAAACTTTAGTTTAGTTTAGTACTTACGCTTCTTTCTAGAATACGATGATTACTGGTACTTACGCTTCTTTCTAGAATACGATGATTACTGATCGACACGTTCTTTTTTCTTTTTGATTCATAGAAGCCAATCACTTAAACCTTTTTTATACACGATCCTTTCTCAGAATCACAATTTATTTCTCCGATTTTCCGTTGACACAATCGGTGAGTTTTTGTTCATAATTATTACATCATAACGATAATAGTTGCGATCGACTGGAGATCGTAGTATTAAGGAATTATTTCTTCTCGATTTCATTTTTTACTTCATGATATAATATTAGTCAGATAGAGTTATTTGAATAAGTTATTTGGATTATCCAAATTATGAATGAGGATTACTCTAATGGATAACTCAAGATTTATTGAACTTTAGCTGATAATTTACGAAAATATAACAGATAGGTTACCTGCATTTGCAAGACGTAATGATAAGTGATTTTGCGAATAATACAGAATCTCAAAAAAAGAAAAAACCATCAATGAGTTAAATTTTGATTATCTCGTATAAATAATGTGAGTAGACCAGTGGTGGTGAATGATGATAGCAGTCATGTGGTTTTGGTCAACCTGATTGCAAGATTAAGTAGAATGTGAAATTAAAACAATCGAATAAGTGAATAAAAACCATTTTAACAGGACTAGGAAGATTATCTAATATACTAGAATTTCATTTTTTGATAGAAATAAAAAGCAGTTTTGTGGACAAATTTGGATATTTTTGAAAAAAGCATAATTTTCACGTTACACTTGATCTTGTGCTATAATTTATTACTTAATTTTCTTTATTAATTTGTGTCATGTTAACATTTCATAGAAAAACCTTCGTGTGATTGGCTGATGGAAATTAATTGCATGGGTAACTTACGTACTTATACAGTTTACAGTACTTTCTGAGCTTAACGTTTCACTAACAAAAGACCGCAATAAAAGTCATTTCTAGCTTTGAAAAAAAACGCCTCGCCTATATTCCTGTACAAAAATATCAAAAATAATCAGTAATCTCAAAGAACTTGAAGTCAAAATTTCGTAATTTACGAGGTCTCCTGCGTTATAAATTCATTTGATTTGATTTGCCAATAATCACTTTTTGATCAATATAATAAAAGTGTTTGAAACTGGTTGATTTTTAATATGTTAAACCCGGTTTAATCGGCTTTCCATATGAAAAATAGAACCGATTCCAATCATATAAAGTCTTCTAATGAGGTCACATTTAATTAATATTTGCATATTGATATCGATATATAAGCTTATCATGGGTATGATAATTTGGAGTGTAGCAAGTTCATACAATTGGTTTCCAACCATAACTATTATAGTGTGTTATATGACATTTTCTAGCAGCAGTTTGAGACAGATATTGTTATACGAAATGAAATCACTTTATTTCTAAACTATGATTCATTTAACTTTAAGTTTTAACAAATTATTAAACACATTAATAAATGATCTTATATTCGCCTACTAATTTTCATGTATAAAATAAAATTAAATGAGAAATTACAAATCTAAGTAGTTTATTATAAATACGTTGGTTAAATCTTCTTTTGTTCTATTGATCTTTTTAACTCAGTTATTTTTGATCATATGGGCTTGGTGCTATAGAAAAGGGGGAAATCGACAAAACAAAAGATCTTCGGAAGATCAATTTTTATGTTATAAATTTTATAATAAATCATAAGAAAATACAAACTATACTACTAAATTTTATTAATACAACTGCTTTCATGTTTTAAGTGAAAAATTATCCTAACATTATTCTAAATTAAGTTGTGTAAAAACATATACATTTTAAAGAAAAAAGAGGACGAATAATATTTAATAAATATTGATTAACACAAAATATTGTGTATTATGTGTTTGTAAATATTACAGTAATGACTATTAAAAGAAGTCAATACAGTCATTTAATGACGAGTCTAATATCTATAAAATTTTGTGTGTTTTACGAATACGTCATATAAAGTGGTGACTTCTGTTAAATATCGTCTATTATAGGCTGGACGTTGCCACAAACGTACATACATACGCACGTATTGGACGGACAAACGTATGGTTTTAATATGATCTTGATAATCATGTGGACCTATCCCATTTGCTATTGAGCAATTGGTAACTATTTCATAATATAAGAGCCGAATCAAAAAAAATAAAATAAAATAAAAATAAATCAAAAAATAATTATAAAAAATCCGAATCAGAATTTGGAAGTCTAACATCACAAAATTTGAAATACATTTTTACCTAATACCGATAATCATGCTCATATTAATATTTTGTTAGCAAGAGCGATAAATTTCTTTCTGGTAATATCTTGCTGATCAATGCGTAAATGTTATTGTATCCGCTTAAGGAATAATGTCGATAAATATTAATGTATATGAAATGAATTATACGTATTCAATTAATTATTATTAAAAAAACAATATACATATAATCGAAAAGAAAATTGGTGATTATATACAATTGCAATTGCAATTGCACTTACCAATATCCCTACTTATATGTCGTTTATCGAATATATACGTCGCAAAGCTCGTTTAAGGTTTATTAATATTTGTCATTTGTTTTTTTTTTTTATCATTTTGAATGTAATTTATATGAGCCACTTGGAATTCTGGAAGCTTCTGATTAATTAATTACGTCATGGCCTTAAAGAATTATGAATAAGCACATGACGTTATTAATCAATCGGAGAATGGAGAATTTGAGAATTCCAAAATTTTCCTAGACCAATCCTCATATAGTAATTAATAATGAGCTTTTTATATAATGACGATGACTAAATATATTAATAAACAATTGAATATGACGTAAGTCGTCATAACATTTATATATAAAACAAATTCTGTCTTTGAATTTTTCGAATAGTTAATGTGACAGTCTTAATAGATGCAACAGATAAAGATTTCAAGATAACAGCAGAATGGAAGAGTTCATTGTTCAAACAGATCAGGTTAAATCAATACTTGAAGTATCAAATATTTCGACTGATTCAAATTTTATTCAGCAAGGTATGTTATTTCTATTTCTATTTCTATTCGCATTAATTTCTTGATGATTTTTTGAATCAAAATTATTTTCTATTTTACTTTTTAGAACCATTTCTGTATAAGCTCCATGAAGAAGATAGAGATTATAAATATGTCTCGGAACTATTTTTATCATCTTGGAAACATTTGGATAAACCTGTTCCTACGATTGTTTCAATATGGAAAGTATATTGTGCAAAGGAATTAATTACTCGATATGAACTTTATCGAAAGAGTGTAGGGAATGAGTGTAAACTATTTCATGGAACAAAAACGTAAATTTTCAATCCTTTAATATAATAATGTTGCCAAATTAAACCCTTTAAGTAAATATTTAAGTTTTCACTGTAACAAACTATCTTCAGATAAATTGAAATTGAAACACATCTACGATGGTTATGCGATCATTTCGATAAATCTTATATGTCACTTTGGTGACACTTTATTGTATGTATCTTACTTCTCTACAACCGATAATACATTATTTATCTTCTTTGCTTTCACGAAATGACTAGAACATGTATTGTATTAATTAAGTTATGTGATTTTAACAATTTTTGAGGGTATAGTTCAGATGCATTGAAAATTTAAATTTTCACTTACAGGTTTTAATCTAGCAACATTCATATTAAGTAAGAAAGAAAAAACTTTTCTAATCATATTCTTTTTTTTTTTTCAAGGACTTGCACTGTTGGCTTTGAAAATGGTGGACTTTGCATTGAGAAATCATGCTCAATTTGCTGTATCATAAGGGAAGGATACAAACTCGATTGTGCAAGATATGGATTATTTGGTAAAGGGATCTATTTTTCTACAACCTCATCAAAATGTGATAACTTTAATGCCAATTTGTTAGAAAAATATAATGGCGTAAATTATAAAGTAATGTTATTGAATAATGTGGTTTTAGGTAGAATTTATAAACCTTTAGAAAATGGTTTTTCACTTACAAGTCCTCCACCTGGGTATGATAGCGTATGTGGAGATCCTAATATCGTTAAAAATTTAAAAGATCTAAAGCATGATGAAATTATTGTGTATAAAGAAGAGGCATCAATTCCACAATTTCTTATAGTTTATCAAACCAAGGCCAATTATTAAATTTAGAATGGTATAATATTCATTATTACAAAAACTTGGTATGGTTTTTTTTTATTGGTAGAGAGTAACTTATTGGTATCAATCTTTTAATAATAAACAAAGCGCTGGCTGGGTATATTTTAAAAATTTTATTACCTAAAAGTATAAATGACTATTTAAATTTTTTAAATATAATAAATATTATAAAATAAATATATAAAACTATACAATCTATTTTTATTTTTATTATTTTTTATAGAACATTTTTAACTTATGCCAGTGGTTAAGGATAACCAGTATGCTATATCTCAATAACGTACTAAGTAAACGGGGTCGGGTATTCTAAGTAAAAATGTCCAGAACTGAGATCGGGACCTCATATCCAATATATTATATTATATAAAAAAAAACCATTTATATAAAAAACTCCTATTTATCTCAAAGCTGCACTCTAACTCTAAATTTTAATAGGGGTGGTTATCTTTAACCAGTGGCATAGGGAATAATAATCTTTTTTATATTTTATTTTTGTTTATTTTTATTCTTTTTTATTCTTTTTTTTTTATTCCGTTCTATTCTTTTTACGTATATTAAATTTTAAGCTATAATTTTATTTTTATTTATTTAAACAATACAATTTTAAATTTTTTTTAATTTATTTTTTTAATTGATTTCTTTAATTTTTAACTTCTATTTTAAAGTGCTAGGATTTCTCAAGAATAAAAAGAAGAAAGACCAAACAATTTATATCACTAAAATTTGACAAGGAACTATTGGTGGCTTTGTAAGTTAATATAGATCCAAAGACTAATTCTGATCAGAAAGATTGTACGCACTAGCAAAAGTCGGCCCAGATGGCCTGCTCGAACTTTTAGGATCGATGATTTTGAGATGTGAACAAAGTCACGAGGCATCATCCATTTGCCACGAGATCATGACCCACGATTATTAAGTAATAAATTTTTATAATGAATTCCGATTTGATTACATAAATTATCGTAAGTATGAAGTCATGGAAATGACTATAATTGAAATTAGTTCATTCTGTCATCAATACCACCCACTCGCTGCCAGGGATGGGAGGAAGAACTAGTGATACGAGTCGATGCCAAATCCTCGGGCCGCCTAAATTACTCAAGCTGATCGACCGGGTCGACTATTCTGCTAAAAAAAATTTCGCTTAAGAAACTAGAATTTCAATACTTTTTTTAGTTTAACATATAAGTTCGTGAAATGGATAATTTTATTGATTATAAGTATAGGTAGTTTTTAGTGCACATGTGAATCAACTAATCAGTAATTATAACGATATTTTGCATTGAAATTTAATAATAGTAAAGAAATAACGTCTAATACAGTCGATACTGTCTAATTGCATACTGTCTAATTGCATACTGTCTAATTGCATATACTCTCTAACTGCATAAAAAATTTTGGCTTTTAACTATTAACACAAAAATGGTTTTTATAATTAAATGCATATACTGTCTATATGCATGAAAAAGTCTCTGACGGATGGCATGCAATTAGACAGTATCGACTGTACAAAATAAAAACTATTTTAATTTGAAAATTCGATGAATAATGAATAGTGTCAAGTAGTGCTGGCATTTGGATTATGTCCATTTAAAATTTTATTTTAGATATGGACAAATATAGATATTGACTAATTTAAATAGTGCTCATGTCCATATAATCAATATTTGAAAATTTTTTTAAGAAAGTAGTTAGGTGTAGCAATAACCGATTTGCGTTACTTTAAGTCTTCGAAATATTTCGATAACTTTTCTTACTAAATATGAGGCTCATTATTCTCAGCCGTAAGAAGATTGGCACAAATAAAAAAATTTGATATAGCTGTATGGCTTGCCAGTAGACGAAATTCATGCTATTCCATACTATAGTCTTGCTGTTTGCATTCCATGATATAATTATATATGGAGTCCTCGCAGTAGAAAGGATCCAAACTCGAAAGTATGATTTTGAGATAATCGTGTGTTAATCTCATGATGCACAGGTCTAACTCAATTTTTTAATATGCAAATCGATTTAAAATATAGCCCGTGCCTAAATCTATCCGATCTTGTAAATTTTGGTTTTGATTTCTTGGATATTTAGGCTCTTTCTGCTGAAAAGACTCTATCTAATACAGTAATAAATAATAAAATAAATATCATATATTAGGCAACACAAAGTTGATTTTTAGTTTTGCATTGCATATATTCGGTTGGTCGAATTTTTTTAATCTACAGTAAATTAATAGGCTCATGTTCGCATCTAAGGCTACGCAAAGTTAATTTTTCGCTTTGCACAACGTGGAATTAAAAAATTGGGTTGAGAATAGAATATTTTTTTTATCAGTTCTATCGAATAAATTCGGGGAAATAAGGTATCTATCGGATGATATCGAATTAATTTATGAAAAAAAATTAATTGACAAAAATAAAATAATTGGCATAATTGGGATTTAAAAAAAGAAAAAATATTTTTTTTTGAAAAATTGAGAAATATAGGTCGACTGGGTAATGCAAAATGAAAAATCAATTTTGCGTGGTCTTAGGGCATGGGCAGAAATAGGGTGATTTCAATTTACTAAGAGGCTATATCCTATCTGATTAAAAATTATCAATCAAATTTATTATGACCTGATACCCCCTCCCCTCATAGGCAAACATTCGTATGATTGGAAGTTTAAATCAAGTTAATTTTACATTATTTATACAATATAAAGTACATTTTAAAAAAAAAGAAAACTGCTACGAATAAACAAAAAAGAAGAATATAGAAAGTTTTATTAGGGTTGTAGGACTCCACTATTAAGAATATTCAAAATTCTCTTTTGTTTTTGTTTTAGAGAAGTTAGCATAATAGCGACTTCTTAAAGATAGATAGAATTAGGTTATCACCATGCTAACTTCTCTAAAACAAAAAAGAAATTTGAATATTTTTAATAGTGGAGTCCTACAACCCTAATAAAACTTTCTATATCCTTCTTTTTTGTTCATTCGTAGTAGTTTTCTTTTTTTTAAAAAAGTACCTTAAACTGTATAAATAATGTAAAATTAATTTGAACTAAATTGCCAATCATACGAATGTCTCCTGCTGATTTCTGCCCGTTTCCTTATAATGTTAATTTCGGTTTATATTCGAATTATATATAATAATAAATTTAAATATAATATTAACATGCTTGATAATTAATAGGCTTTAAAGTTTCGAGCATTGGTGTTTCACATGGACTAATTAATCAAAACTATGTCAGCTATATTGATTATTTAATTATTATCAAATTTTTATCAGTAAAATTAAAATAATAATGAAAAGTGCAAATTCTAAGTTATCACATAAATTATTTTTCCTTTACTTAATTATTTTGAAAGTGCAAAATTCTAAGTTATCACATAAATATTGTGCTTATTTTTTTTAAATTGAAACTGTTCGTCAGAACTGTTTCAAAGTAGCTATATTTGATTTTTCGCCAAAGTTTTGATTTTTATGTTTATGATTTTTTTTGTCCTAATTATTGAATTTTCGAGATTCTATATATTAATTATTATACATATATAATTATATAACTTTCGTATATTATAAAACTTAAATAAATTTTAAAATAATTAAATCACAAAGTTGTTTTTATAGAATTATAAATTTTTATGTAGAGTGCATTATAGATTTACATAGTGATTCTAATTGCCGATTTCTTTACCAATACTGTGGAACTAGCTATACCAGTGAACAGAGCATGTGACAATACTCGGAGCACAAATTTCCCACGGTCGATCTGTCCAATAAGTATACCATTCACATGCACAATTTTTAAAGTTAATAATTCAAAAGATTTTTATTAACTAGATCAAGGGTATCTCACGATCCAGTCAGAATTTGATGAAGTTTATACCGTTTGATTCATTTCATTGAGGCGAATCTATTGGTATAAAAATTATTAAATTCTACCTATCGAATCATAAGATATCTTCGATATTTTATAAAATTTGTTTCTAATATAACATTATTAAATATTGGATTAATTTTAATAAAACGTAGGCTTTTATGAGCTTTCTTACTACTTTGTTTTTTAATGTATTTAATTGGTAGGTTTTGAAAAATCACCAAAATAAAGTACTTTAACGCATATAAAAAGTTAGAAAAAAAATTTATTCAATTATGACGATCATCACCAAATTCGGGTTGTCCACCGCTAGTGAACAGCGAGTGTTTGTGACAAATTCATCTGCCTGTATCACCTATTACTATCTGCATCACAATTACCGCATAATGTTTGCAGCAACTTGCATTAAGAACTATCCCTATCTAATCCATAGATAGCGAAAAAATTCATAAACTGACGTAGTGGTATAAATTGATTATTTGATTAAATGCCTTTTATGGCAAATTCATTCGTTTAATCATTTTACTTACATTTAATCAAACCGATAAAAAAAATTACAGATGAAAAAAGGCCAAGGTCAGAAAAACACCGGCGAATTCGCAAAATTAGTCCTAAATTAGGGTCTATAAATTTTAGCAATGAACAGATTCAACTTTTCATCTATATGCATCCTGTAATTGTCAATTCCAGTGACCCTAATTCCGACCTAATTCCACAAATTCGCCGATATTATGTATGTAAATTAAATTAGGTCATTCATATACGCACGCACATGTTTGAAAATTGCATTTTTACATATTTTTAAATCGAATCATTCGCCCCCCTTTCGGTATTAGCTGTCGAAGGGGGTTTTCCTAGTCCACTACCCATATATATATTTATTTAGGTTGCATCGGTCAGGTCCGGTCCCGGCCCAGGTCTTTTGGAGAATCCTATTTATATTATGGCGTTTTTAATATATTTATCGTGCATTTTTTTTTTTGCACTAATTAGGAAAATAATATAAACAATATTTAAACATTTAATCGAAAAAGAAATAGTACGTACAACCTATTTTACAAAAAAAAGTTTGCACAGATTTCTTGTTATGCAATGTGAAGCCTCACAAGGATACACAAAATGACAAGATCAAGGCGCATTGACACAAATAAATTGGAAAGAACCTTTAGGGCGTAACACCCAATTTGTAAAGATGCATTTTAAAATATTATCATCTTGGGCAAATTCACGAATTATTTCGCTATTTATATTTTTATTTCTTCTTTCCCTTTTGGAGGTTCTCTACATCGAACTAAAGGAAATAACATCAGATAACGAGATAAATCGAAGATATTGTGATGCAAATGAATGTAGATTTTTGTTCTCATATGTTGTTTCAGAGCAAGAAACTCAATCCAACAGGCATTTTATCTCTTCAATACAAATTGCACAACAACTAGGCCGTACAATAGTGTTGACCAATGTTGGAGGATCAGGCATATCTTCAAACAAAAATTTCTCTTTTGACTTCTATTATGATGTTGATAAACTAAGCAAAAAATTCCCGAAAGTAAAATTTATTTCACAATAC